GCACGGGGGTGGGTAGAAAATGAAGGCTAATCATGTTTTGGGTGTACTATTCCTTTAAAAACAAAGATGAAGAGCAATTACCAGGTGATTTTATTACCAAAGCAGAGCTTCATAACAAACCCCCCATCTGGGTCTCACCAGTTGGTCTCCTTCATCCTCGTGAAACAGTAGAGGTTGTTTCAGGGGTCGTCTGATGTAGGTGTGAGTGGAAAGACCCTGAAAGTAGGTGGCGGCAAACTTGGAGAACTTGTACTCGGACAAGTCTTCCTCTTCCTCGTCGGGTAACGGTGGAGCTTCGTTCAGCATCTCCTCTTCGGCTTCATCGGCGCCAGGAGTTTGTTCCAGGTCCTGAGGGAACAAAACAAAGTAGGAGGTGGATTTTAGAGCATCAGAAGATCAGAGAGGTGAACTCAACACTGAGATTCACCCTCTGGATGAACAAACAAAGGAGGACATCTCTGGGATTTCTCTTTGTCAGGTTCAATTGAACTCACTAAATAATATTCGGTGCTCTCAATTCTCTAGACAAATATTTCTAGTGTTAGTTAATAGTAGATCTCCATTATTGTCAGTGTGACAGGATATGTTTTTATGGCAGAACATCAAACTGGTTGTTAATGTTTTTAGAGGCACCATGCAGGGCATACTGGTAGTGAACACATGGGTGTTAGTGCAGATGAATGATCAGCTCTTTTTGGTTAAAATGTTGTTTTTTTTAAACTTAATGCAGTTCAAAGTTTTTAATTTATGCATAAATTTGAATCTTTTTTTTTACATAAAAGGAAACCGCTGTTTGTAGAAATGTTAAAACATTTTTTTTTTTGTTTTTTTACTTTACTTATGAGCTTATTCCTGTGTTTTGAACAGATGGGGAAGATTTTCCTTGGTGCGCAGAGGACAATTGAGGAGGCTTTTGGACTTAAAAGTCATCTTCGTTAAGTTTCATAATATAATCAACTTGTTTTAGATTTGAAAATTTTTTTTATTGAGGATTGTTTTTCTTTAATAATCCTATAGAGCTTACTCATTAGCCGGTAAGTTGGACCTAGTTTAATTAGCTGTGTATTTTTAAGGCTTTAAAATCTAACGAGTTTCTGTCTTTTAACACAAAAAGCAGATTTAGTCCATCCCAAAAACACAGTTAAATTACACTTTTGCTCATTAAGGTAGAAAACTGGAAATTGGCACCTTGTAAAAATAGGAAAAATTGTAAAAGTTTCTAAAAGGGGATCAGTAAACCAATTTTTCTCAGTAGAATTACCTCAAATTATGTTTAGTGTCATTCATAAGGACATTTGGGGTGTTTCATTTCAATATTTCTTATACTGTATGTGGAGAGGCTGCAGTTGAAGATCTGTTCAACCAGTGTTGGACTGCAGCCAGAGAAGCGGATCATAAAGTTTGTACCTTTGGTGGTTTGCACGGCTAAATGACGATAGATCATCATGTAAAGAGTGTCACTTTAGTTGAAATGAAATGTCTTTAATGGAGGGAAGAGGAGCCCTGATGATCTTCACTGCTGTTCTCATCCCTCTTCTCACTTTCTCAGACTGGAAAAAAGAAAAGAGTGGTGAGAACAGCAGAGAGGATGATGGGGGCCTCCTCTTTCCTCCATTAAAGACATTTCATCCCAGTGCTGGGTGTCCCGAGCCCGTGACATCATCAATCACCCCCCCTACCATGGACCAATCTGCCTGCTGCCCTCTGGGAAGAGGCTTCACAGCATTCAATGCAGGACCAGCGAGTTCTGCAGCAGCTTCTTCCTCACTGCCATCAGACTGATAAACTGTTGTGAAAACTCTTAATCATGTCACTGATTCTGCATCACATGGATAAAACCAATCCAAAATTCTGCATATTTGCACCATAAATATTAAAGCTCTGAACTTCTATATCAATGTGTTTTTTGCACTGTTTTTTTCCTCCCACACTGTTTGCATTCGATCACTGCTGCACTTTATGGAATGGAAATGTCATGACAGCTGTAAAAAAAACAAAATTTCCTTTTGAATACACTGCGTTTAAAAAAAAGACAAAAACTGTTTAAATCTAGTTTAAATTTACAGCTAATGGTAAAAAATAATCAGAAATAACTAAAAACAGACCAAACCACAGTATCAATGGCTTTTTTCCATATACAGCTGCGTGTTTATTTAGTATAATATCAGAGAGAAAATAGTATTTTCCAGCTTAATGTTTCTTGTTCACTTTTTCACTAACAACTAGTGTTGCACCGATACCGATTCCAGTATTGGGCGGGGCCCCGATCCAGCACTAAAATGTTGTATTGGTATCAGCGAACTAATAGGGCAGTGATACCAATTTGAGAGCCAAAAGTTTCTTCAACTACTGTCACCCACTCCAG